CACTCAGCCTGCCTGCTGAGTGCAGGTCAGACACAGGGTGGGGTTTGCTCATCTGAGCCCAGCAAAGCCACGATTAAATGTGTGTGCATATGGGATAGGGAGGGGAGGAAGGATCGGTGCAACGATGGCAGGTGAGGCACCGTAGCCTCCACAGGGGATCCCATTACCCCACACCAAAGTGACTGCATCACTAATTTTAAAACTCCCCTCAGATTAGGGTTTTTTTTTGCCTGCATTATAGCGTTGAATGTAGAGCCTAAGAAGTAGATGAAGGCAACAGAACACAGATCACCTCCCTCCTCTACAGGCTAGGAGCAACCAGAGCCCAAGCCAGGATCTCCATCTCCAAGCAGCCGAATTGCAAATTCCTACTTGCAGAGCTTCAGGTGAAGGGAAGAGAGTGGCTCACTCCACCCTTTACAGTAGCACTCTAATCACGAAGATAGCAGACCCAACTCATGGCTAGAGGTTGCTTACAATACCATTGAACACCAGAAATGTATTGAACCTGTGAGAAACTTCCACAAATATCTATTGTGAAATATAGCATAGTGTGTAGTATGATTGCCAGAGACCTGAAGATGCTGGTGGCCAGAGACCAGAATTTTCCTCAAAAAATAATTAAGTCAAGGTCTCAACCAGCAATTCCATGAAAGCAAACAAGCCAGCCATCCCCAAAAAGAATGACCAAGGCCTTCAAAATGAAAAATGAGAAAGTTTTGACTGTGATTCTCATACTGGCCTAATGGTAGGAGTCACACATTGAAAACTTTCAGATTTCTTGCTGAACAAACACAGGCATCCCTCACCAGTACATTCCTACACCTAGAGTTACAGCTTTCTCTGCACCCTCACTACGGATCAAGAATTACAGCCTGCACCACTGTGCCAGCCCCTTGACAAATCTGAAGCTGAGTTCTGTAGGATTTGTTTATTCACACGAGTTTCAAATACCTGAATACCTCCAACATATCACTCATGAGCAAACATAACAATTCTTGCTTCAAAACAATTAGTATTTTCAGGAAATGGCTTGAAGTATGGCATATTTTCCAGTGTAAAGAATTAGCAACCACATATTGATCATCTGCTGCAAATGGGAGTATTTAGCATCATCCAAGATCCCATCACAGATAGACATAATTCTTTCTGTGAGAAACCCAACAGGCTTTTAGTGCACAAACTACCTAAACGTTAAGTATTAAATCTGAGCCGAGTATAGTATATCAGGTTTAACCTAAAAAAAAAAAAAAAAAGATTAAAAAAATATGGAAACACAGCATTGAAATAACAGCTTTACTTTTAGCCTTTTGTTTCTTTATTGATAATGTATTTGTTTTACCCATTAGAGTCCAAAAAGATGAGGTGGCTATTTGCAAAAAGAGGAGTTGTGAGTATTTCAACATGGGTTTTTTTCCCTTGCCATGACCTTGCCTTCTCCCACAACTAACCTGGGTAAAAAGAATTTCTTTACCACCCCTGGAGAAAGGCAACCAGCAGATGAGCCAGGCTCAGAGGTCTCAGCCCACCCTGGGAGTGCTTGGATGTCAATCCGCAATGAAAGGAAGGCAGCTCCAGCAGAGCCACCAGGGCCGCTGCACATGATACATGTCAAAACAGTCAGAGCTGCTGGTCCCTATCCCCATAGCTGGTGGGAAGAGACATGGTCTTAGCACAAGGAGGCTAGAGCAGGGTGACCAACACAGGAGCTCTCACCTTGACCTTAATGCCCTAGGAGGAATCTAGGTTTTATCTATAAAAGTAGCCTTTTAGATGCTTTCTTAGGCTTTTCTTCTCCTCATGGGCACCCTCACACTCATCAGTAAAAGCATACACACTAACATACTTCAGTTAATTTCGTTGTCCAAACCATTTTCTTGTCTTTTCCAGCTCTGAAAATTTTCCATTAAGGTATCAATTTCCCTTCTCAATGTTGTTCATCATTCAAAGAAAAAAAAAAAAAAACCAGCTACAAGTGTCTTGAAACCTTTGCACCCATAAACATGTAACTGTTGACTCTCTAGTTTTTTTTGCGTTTGATCTACTAAATCTTGACTGTCAAAGAAGAGTTTGTGCAAGTGAAACCAAAGCAAGTACTCAGATTAGCATGTACAAGAGTTCCAACTTCATTTGACAGTATTTCTACAGCATTTGGAGCATGGCTTAAAACTGAGAATTTTTAAATTCGGCAAAATATTTGAAAATTGCGATAAAATACATTTGCTAGTTAGCAACAGGTGATTTCTGAGACTATTAAATGCCATAAAAATTTATGAAGATTAATTTACTAGTATATTAAGTATGTATATATAGATGTAATGGCATTATTGTTTCTGCTCTGTTTCAAGCTATCTTTCAAAAATTGAGAGTTGAGCCTCAACTCTGAATTTCAAATATTATAATCAAACACATATTTCAAAACTGGCTTTAGTTGAGTGCCTAAAGTTCAGACAATAGAAATCCATGAAGTATGAATATACTGTTCCAGAGAGCAGATAAAATTTAAGCAAACGCCTTATAAGTCTACGATCACAGCAATAAATTAGAGTCCATAAATATTGGTTAAACTTTTCACATGGCACTGTTGGTCTGAAAAACAAAGACAAACCAAAAGCAATTGTTTTTGTTTCATGAGCCCTCACACAAACTCCTCCCGCTCTTTAAGCTTTCTAAAAGCTCATTTTATAAACAGTACTCTACAGCTGACCTTTTTTTTCAATATGTAGCTCAAATAAAAATTAAAAAATAAACAAACATGCCAGCTTTGTATACCAATGGCAGGAGGATGATTTCAACTATGAGTTTGTTGTCCCCTACTTCTGACAGTGCTGAAGGAGGGAAAATATTTTACTTGTTCTGTTTTCTGAGGGTAGCCCATTGTCTGTTGCCATACCCATGATTTGCCCTGCCAAAGACCTCAGTGTTATATAAAGTAAGATCTTTCACAGCCACACCTAAGTCACCCACACAACACACATATAGCTACAAATAAGCCTGCTGTCACTGCCTCACCTCTGTGTAGGAGACCGTGGAAACACAAGGAAATCACTCAGCTAAGGGCAAGCTCCTTGCACAGCAGAGCAAAGTTATTGAACTGGGTAAACTTCTTAATGGTCTTTGAAACACTGGATGAATCAGGCATGGTTTTCTGTCATTCAACAGGGTAAAGACAAACAGAAGCAAGCACCTGATCTGGAATACTCTCTACCATTAAGATCATAGACTGCAGCACACAAATTTTTCTGCTTTAAGGTATCACATTACTGAGTCAGTATACTCTACTGAGAACACTTAAAGAGGGGGATAAAAAAATAATTTGTGTTCAGGTTACCATTTTTTCACTACATTAATGTGGATATATGATGTTTCTGCAAAATTAATGCATAAGTATAAGGTATATTTTTGTTTTTTTGAAATGGAGGAGTGAGCATTGTAGAAGGTTATCAAGAGCCCTCACAACCCCTTGGATTTTTCCAGATTTCCAGACTGCTCTAGATCAGGGAGTTACCACCTTCAGGACAAAAAAAAAAAAAGCACCAAGACAACCCTCTCAGCAGTGCCTGAAGATATGGGGAAAGAAATTGCAATATCACAGAGATGCCAGCAATCTCTTGTTGCAAGTTCCCCTTGCTGCCTGAGAGGTGCATACAGAAGCAACCATGTAAAGGTCAGGGACAACATCAAGGTTCAGCTGCACAGATCCCATCAAAACCTGCCTGCCAGATAAACAAGTCTCCTGGCCTTCAAGGCCCCCTAGCCAGAGAAACAAGCAGCTACCAGGATGACATTCAGATAACCCGCATGTAACACCATCCCCTCTCCAAAGCAAACTGCAGGCTGTTATATGCCATCCCCCACAGACTTGGTTGTTGAGGACTCCTGTCAGTGAACATCTGACTCTGGAGCAGGTCAGTAGGGTGACAGTGGTCACCTAAGGACTAAACAAAACAATATGCAAATACCTATGAAGACCTAGTCCTTTGGTACCTTGATTTTACCATCTGGAAAA